AATTCCAAGTCTCCTATATCTTAAGCTGTTATCTATCATTTCAAACTACAAAAAAAGATAATGTATAATTTCTCCAGTTTTCAGTAATCAGGAATAAAAAAAATTAATCAATATTGCCTGAAGTAAAGCATTTCAGAAACAAGAGGTATGTTTTTAGATAACTAACACATTCTTACAAAAAGTTATTCAGCCAGAATATGAAATTAAAACTAAGCAAGAGGAAACTATTATAATTTATTTAGTTCTTTCTATACCTTCCAAGGTAATGGAAGAGGATTCTTATAATTCAAACTAGCAAATATTTTAAATGTATTGGCAAAACTAATATGTAGTAAATTGGCAATGATTCTGAATAAATTCCCCAAATCAATATTTTCTTTAGGTACATAACTTTTAAACATTAAAAAAAAGTAACTTTTACATGCCTTAAACCTCATTTAAAACTACATTTAAATATTTTTAAAACTTTTGGTTGTGATCAAAAGTTTCATCTGTGAATTCATCATTGAAGATGATGTGGAAAACAGTAATTAAATGGGTGATTGATACAACTGAAGGTATGACTCATAGTTTGCTAAGGAAAATGATTTGGGGAAAAAGGCTCAGGAAGAAAAAAAGCAAATAATGGATTCTGGATGAGATGAAGACCTTTCCTGTCCAAGGGCTGTCACCAGTTCTTTATTACTTGAAGATTAAGGGAATAGCGAATAAAGCTGTCTGCCAGACAGCCAAAAATGTAAGAATAACATTGTCTCTTAGTGCATCTCACTTGAAAGTTTTCAAAAACCATATTCATAAAATTAAACTTTCTATAAAAAGTTACTAGAAAACCCATATTGAATCAGAGCAATGGAAATGTCAAAAAAAATTACATCTGTCACGAATTTGAACAGAATAAAACAGCACTGTAGGTCAAATTGTAGAATCATCTAATTTTACTTCACTGGGTTTTAGAAAACAAACAGATACAATAAAGAGTTCTCAGGAGATTTAGTAGGGTTTCTTTTTGTTGGTTTGGTTTTTGTTTGTTTGTTTGTTTGTTTGTTTGTTTTTCTACTAGCTAACACAAAATAAATATTTAGTTTTGCTACTAGGGTTCAGTAAATAGATACAATGTGTTTTGGTTTTTGAGATTCCAGAAGTGAAATTAAAGCTACAGATATGATAGTCCCCTACTCTCATGTGCGTTTGGATGTCTGCAAACTAACTCATATATTTGAACATACTTCTTAAAAATTCACACTTGTGGGGTTTGATTGCTATTTCTGCATTATCACTCTCTAAAGAAAATGAAGAGAATTTCATATGATAGTTGAATTCAACAGAACATTTTACCCAATTTTTAAATTTACATTTTATGTATATGTATTTTAGAGCCCCTACTATGTAAAAGCATTAAGCTAGACACTTTACACAAATAAACTCATTTAATAATGTGTGATGAGGCTGGGATTGTGGCTCAACCGTAGAGCGCTTGACTAGCACGGGCGGGACCCAGGTTTGATTCTCAGCACCACATAAAAATAAAAGCACTGTGTTGTGTCCATCTACAAAAAAAGAGATTCATATTCTCTCTCTCTCTCTCTCTCTCTCTCTCTCTCTAAAAAAAAAAAATGTGTGATCTATTGTTATGTATATACTTTGTGAGGTTAGAAAAAGAATACTTTGATGATGAAGCAAACCCACTTTCTGTCACTGATGACTTGTATATGAGCAACATCTAGTCAACCTAGTACATCTTACCTTATGTATATATTTTAGAACTTAGTTAATTAAAACTGCATGATCCAGGGCTGGGGTTGTGGCTCAGCTGTAGAGTACTCGCCTAGTACAAGGCATTGGGTTTGATCCTCAGCACCACATAAAAATAAGTAAGTAAAATAAAGGTATTGTGTCCACCTACAACTAAAAAAAATATTTTAAAAAACTGCATGAATGATGGTGGAATGAGTTAGACATCATTACCCTAAGTACATGTATGAAGACACAAATGGTGAAAATATTTTGTGTAAAATCAGTGACTTGAAACATTGTGCTCTATATGTGTAATATGAAACGAACTGCATTCTACCACCATGTATAACAAATTAGAATAAATAAATAATTTAATTTAAAAAAAACTGTATGATCCGACTCAAAGACTCAAAAACAGACAAAAACTTAAGGGCTCTGTGTGACTGTGTATTTTTGCACATGTATAGATTTGGAACAAATCAGTCCAGTTAAAGAATCTTTCCTCTTAATCTACACTAAACTTATATGTTCTCCTGTATGCTGGTAAAAAGAAGAAAGATGTGACTTTTAAAATGAAAAAACAAAAAGTGACATAGGAAAAAACAGCTTTTAGAATAAAGGATTCTATTTCTGAAGTTAGTACACTAAGAATATTGTCAGTATTAAGTTATAAGCAGATATTTAAAGAAAACTTGCTATGATAAATTTTTCATTTGTGAATGTACTTAATTATCAGAAAAGTTTACAGCTTTTTCTTTTTTTGGATATTCTATCATCTAATATTTTTGTTAGATAATAAAATAAAAACCTTATTAATCCTGCTAGCAATACTATAAGATAGGTAGGATGGTTAATTCTAACATCAACTTGCTTGGGACACAGTACCCGAAACTTTGAAGGTGATTTTGGAATGCAAGTAACATATAAATTGGTGGGTAGTCTTCACCCAAACAGTGAAAAGACTTAATAGACCAAAGACTGACCCACACTGGAATAAGATGGGATTCTACCAGCATACTGCCTTTGGACTCCAACTTTAACTCTACTTCCCTGTGTCTCCAGTGTCCCAGCCTAGCCCACAGATGAAGGAATCCACAATTACAAGAAACAATTCTTTAAAATCTCAACCTCAATCTTTTTCTCTCCCCTGACCACAAACACACAATTAGTCATCCCTTATCTGTAGTGTCATTTTGTACAATTTGAGTTGACCATGGTAACCTCTGATTTCTTTCAGAAATAAACAACCACTGTGGTAATACATGCCTGCTAATTCCAGCCACTCGGGAGGCTGAGGCAGGAAGACTGCAAGTTTGAGGCCAGCCTCAGCAATTTAGCAAGACCCTGTGTCAAGATGATAAACAATAAAAAGAATTGGGTATATAGCTCAGTGATAAAGCACTCCTGGGTTAAATCCCGAGTATCAAAAACAAAGAAAAAAAAAGAAACTATTCATAAATTTTAAGGTGTGCAGCAATCCAAATAGTGTGATGAAAATTTCACAGCATTCCACCACCATTCTACTGTGTCTGCTCCAGACATGACTCACCTGGTTGTCCAGTGTATCTACGCTGTGTACACTCACCCTCTGTTGACTTTGGTGATTTGATCAATTGTCACCATGTTGCATTGGTATATTTATTCAAGTAAACCTTGTTAAACTTAATAATAGCAACCAGAGTACTGATAATTTAGATATGCCAAAGAAAAGCCATAAGGTGCTTCCTTTAAGCAAAAAGGTAAAATGTTCCCAACTTAATAAGAAGTAAAAAAAAAAAATCAATTGCTGAGGTGAAATATAATATGTATAAAATTCGGTAGTATCCATCATTGAGGTATTCACTGGGGATTGTGGAATGTGTCCTCTGTGGATAAAAGGGAACTACTGTCTATGTAAAAACTAACACAACACACACACACACACACACACACACACACACCTCTGTGGTTTGCACTCCAAGGGTTTATATTATGGAAGTGTGGTCCCCAGTGTGGCAATGTTGAAAGGTGGTTCAACTTTTAAGAGGTGGGGCAGAGAAAATATAAGTCGTTAAGGGCACTGCTCTCATAAGGAATAGATGCATTTTGTCCAAAAAGATTGCAATAAAAAGAACAAGAATGGCCTTTCCTCATGCTCTACCTTTCTGTCTCTCAAGGTGATCTCTCCCTCCCACATGTGTTTCCCCCACAACACCATTACCATGCTGCCAAATATCCAATGGAGACCTCATGAGAGACAGTGCCATCCTATTTGCACTTTCAGCCCCCAAAACTGTGAGATATATTAATCTCTTATTGATAAGAGATACCAGCCCCTGGGTATTTTGTTATAGTAGTAGAAAATGGAGTAGCACACATGCATGCAAACATGCAAATACATACACACACACACACACACACACACACACACACACTCACTCACACTCTCTCTCGACTGGTTTTGTCTCTCTGAAGATCCCCGACTAATACAAGAGGCATCGGGGAAAACTAAGGTTAAGAAAACCAGTTTGTGCCAACATTCCTTTTAAACTATGATCTGACAAAAAATTTTAAAAAATCAATTCTGGGAAATTATCTGGTGGATCCTCAAAGAATTAAGCATGGAAAAATTTTGACCCTACACATATACTGAAGAGAATTAAAAAGATATGTCCACACGAAATCTTGTACACAAATGCTTGTAACAATCACATTCACAACAGTTACCAACTGGTAAAAAATATCAATGCCCATCAACTGATAAATGAATAATGAAAATAAGACATATCCATTCAATGGAATGTTCAGCCATAAAAAAAAAGTAGGGCTGAGATGTAGTCCAGTGGTAGAGATGTTGCCTAGTATGTACAAGACTTTGTATTTGATAATTAGCACCAGCCCCTTCCCCCCCTCGAAAAAACAAAAGGAGGAACAAAGTACATAATCCTATAAAAGGGGCAAAATGTCCTTCAAAATCTGAGTAAAAGAGGGCAAATACAAAAGGCCAAATATTATATGAATCCATTTCTATAAAATGTCAGAATAAGCAAATCCATGAAGACAAAAAATAGACTAATGGTTGTCAAGGATGGGGATGGAATGTCAATGAGTATGAGGTTTCCTACTGGAGTGATGAGAGTCTTCCTGAATTAGATAGTAATGACGACGATACAGCCTCATATGAATATACTATAAACCACTGAATTATACACTTTAAAATGACCAGTATTACAACTGGTGGAATTATCTCAATAAAAAAAAAAAAAAAGGTTAAGAAATCTACTCACCTGCCCTTTTTCTGGTGCCAAGCAATGAACAACTTCATCCACCATTACTGGAATATGTAATTTGGCCATGGCTTCAGAATCTATATCTTGAGATCTCTGTAACTCCTGATCTCCAGTTAGATCTGTTTGCTCCTGGGTTTCATTTTCATTATATCTTTCTGCTGTAGTATGAATTTTTTTTGGCCAAACACCTAAATTATGTATGCCAGATTTCAACCAGCATGGAAAATATTCTCTAAATATTCTACAAAAATATGGGTATCGAAGCATTCTGTAGTTCAACAAGTCTAGAAAAGAAATTTAAAATGATAATTGTTGGATTTTTAAGAAGAATGTTATACTTATGGAAAAGCAAATTAATATGAACTATTTAATATACCAAAAAAAAGTAAGAGTCATTATGTGAATAAGGTGACTAACCTCCTTATATGAAACAAGGACTCTAAGAGAATGCAGAATCATAATTCAAATATAATTTTTAATGTTGCCTGATAACTTCTAAGACCATTAGCGTTTTAACCATGAGGATATGAAAAGTGCTTATTCAGTAATCATTTTTCACGTTTTTTAATTTTAATTGGTTCTAAAGAGTAGATTTGATGAGTCAAAATTATTTATGGATGACTGAGGGATTATGACTATTCTAGTTTATGTTAAGGTGATCTTTTATTTCAAGATCTTTTATTTGTTTTTTTCCATATTGTTAAATTTTCATGTTTAATTTACCTTTGTAGGAGTGACTATCCCTGAAAAAAGGCCAGACATGTAAATCAAAAAAAAGATGATCAGCCTCTGAAAATACTGCGTATTTCTCTTGGACAATCTCTGAAGAAATTATCTCACCACAGCTTGTATCAGTGGAGTATATAGATCCATTTAAACTACAACTAAACTCAATTGAACACATTTTGGCATTTCATAGCCCCCTTTTTTTGTATGTTTGGTTTTTTTGATACTTGGGATTGAACCCAGGGCCTACTCATGCTAAGCATACATACTCTACCTCTATGCTTCAGCCCTAAACCCCCACATTCTAATTGTCCTTGTGCCCCAAAATCAAGTAAATAATTGACACATTTCTTGAATTTCTTATATGTGTTCTATTTTCTTCTGCAATTTTCATTCTTTTAAATGCAGAGGGGGGAAATGTTATTTGTGTGAACATTAACAGAAGACCTTTTGAAAACACTGTTTTATGCAACAGGCTTCAATTGATGTTTTTAATACAACCATAATAAATATCTAGTTAATCATACTCTTCTTTCCTTATAGATTGAGTGATTTAAGAATAAGACCTATACCCTTGTATCCATAGAAATCTGGTGTACACTATGTACTTAAGAAGTATTCCTAGGGAAAAAAAAATGATTGGATAGATAAATTCCAGACTCTACAGAATAAACATTTTTATCTATCCTAGCTTTAGGAAATTTCACCTGATTGACTCCACCAAAAAACATATGGTCTCAAAATTACACTTAAATATATCTTACTTTCCTTTTGCAATAGAAAATGAAGAATTAATCACATGTATTAACTAAAACCATGGAACACAAATATCTGACATTATACATATGTAACATGAATGAGATGTTACCTTAAAGTCAATTTTTTTTATCATCCCCAGAATTATGTGGTAATGTGACATAGAAAAAAAATGTAGCCACAAAAAGATAAATTACAAATGAGATTTTTAAATAAATTTCTGGATATTACCCATCAACAAACTGGCCAAATTGTTAATTATGTATACAAAGCAATTCTAACTACTCTTTAACTTACTGTATCTAAAACTTTTCAAAATAATACCTAACATTTATTTAGCACTACGAACTACTTACTTTAATAACACTACATGATCTAACTCATTTAATTCTTCATATAACTCTTGGAGTTATATATTATTCGTCCCATTTTACAGATGAGGAAAATGGAGAAGCTAAATAATTTGTCAAAGTTCACATAGCTAGAGAGATATAATATAGGCAGTCTATCCCCAGAGTCTAAAGTCTTAATCCCCATGCCATAAATTTCACCCACAGGAACTATTTAATGCACTCATGTAATTTAATGATACTTTATGTTGACTATGTATGTGTAGCATCTCATGAATTCAATTTTCTTGTTTCAGATGGAAATAAGAATGGGGTAGCTAATAGAAAACATATTGCAATAGGCCTAAACAGTGGAATCTGGAAGATTTAACAGAATTACACTCTATGTCCTGATTTTGAAAATTGTTTTTAAAGGAAGCATCATTTCTAACATAGGAATCTGAACTATGTGGGGAAAAACAAGTACAAGAACAGATTTTTTAAAAATGCTATAGCCAGCATATGATTCTTTTCTACTGTATTCAGTTCCTATATATTTATTCATTGTTCAAGGCACAAAGCCTTAAAATTTAACCATGAATTGATTACCTACTAACTTGGTCAACATGGAGAAAGGGCTACCAATGACTCATTTTCCTCTTTGGTTGCTTCCTAGAATACTTTCTTTTAAATGTAAGAGGGAAAGCTGTAAGGGGAGTTCATTTTCTGTAACAGTATCCTACTAGACTATCCAGAGTCCTCCTGTGTTCGACTAAGAACCCACCACTTTAAATCATTTAAGATTGTTTTAAGTTTCCTGTGGTCAGAGAACCAAGCCCAATCAGTAAACCTAGACCCAGGAGCAAACTGTATGATGTCCAAAGCAAATTCATTGAACTTTTCTCTACAGCAAACTTCAGTTTAGTAATTAAGGACACAAAATTGGCGAGGTGAGTCTTTTAATTGTGGGAACAAAAAATAAATAAATAAGTGATGCCTGTAAAGACTACTTCCTCGCGGTGCTAACAATTACCATCATTAATCAGTTTTCCTCTGCACAGAAATCCTGTTTCAAAAGGCAATGCTTAATGCAAAAAAAAACGCGATTTGGAGGGTGGCACCCGAACGCTGAGAAAGTGAAAGAGGTTCTAAAGAAATGGAAGAATACACCCTTTTGCCCAAGAATTACTCTGACAAGAGAAAATTGCTGGGAAAACCCAGGAGGAACGCGTGCTGAGGAGGGGCGTGGATTCTGTGCCCAGGCGAATCAAGCGACCTCCTAGGAGTTCCCCTAAGGCACAGTGCTTTCCAAAAGAGCACCGGTAACTCGGCCACCTTCTCCTCACCTGAGGCACGAAGATTTCTCAGTCGGCCTCTAACTTGGGCCAGTGACGACCACTATGGTGCCGGAGAACCTGAGAGGGCTACACGTCTAGTTCCCAGCCCTGGGGGAATCTTGCAAGAACGGACAAATTGAGCCCAGGTCCGCCCCAGCAACAGAGGACCATCCGCCTTTCGTTCCGTTGCTTCCAGCCCCAGATGTGAAAGAGTCTTGCAGGCGCTGAAGTTTCCAAAGGACCTTCCTGGGGGGAATAAATAAGACCTCACCATTGCCATGTTTAAATTCGCTTTTACATCTTTTTTTTAAATGTCTGAGGCAACCTTAAATCTAACTTTCCATTTTCTCCTTTACTCTTTGATTTACTATGAAAATAAATTAGTGGTCCAATAACATGACTGTAAATTATAAAGTACTCCAATTTCTAACAAAATGTGGGAACTTATGTTTCCTTAGCTCTACACGGTTGGAAAGTTTGGATTCTATTTTCCTTCATTTCATTACAAAATACCCATTTTTTTCCCTATGTTATACCTCCTTAATATCTTGCCAAACTTAAGACTAGCCAGCTGGCACAGTATGGCATTGATTGTAATGTCAAAATCAGTCTGCTTTAATCAAATATAAAATTCCTCAAGAATACAGTCTACGTCTCAACACTGCTATATGGCAAGTGTAGCTGAACTGAAGTTAAATGAAAAATAAATACTGGAATGAGGTGTGGAAACAGCTGTAAAACTGATAAGCCAACACAATGTGCATGTCAAAACTGATGAAATTTAAAAATACTTACATTTACTTTTCACCAAAAATAAATGCAATTTTATAAGAATATGGTAAGAAATGCATATTTTCAGATTAGGATATCATCTTACTGTTACTTAACCTAAAAAGTATTTCAGCAACAAATGATTATGAGTTGGCTTGTTTGTAGAATTCAAGTATTTTACTTTATGGGTATTCTGAAACTTTTGTTTTCTCTTGGTAAAATGAAAGTAATCATATATACATTGCATGGGCTGTTTTTATAATTAAATGAGATAAGAAAATACATAAAGTGACTAATAAAATACTTGAAATGTCAAAGGTAAAGTACCATACAATAAGGACATATTTAAAATAAAATAAAAAGGTTTCTCAATTTTATTGCCAAACCCAGCTTCAAATAACTTCCATTAGCTAAAATGCATATAATAGTGAGAAATAAATAGTAGCTTTATTGATGACCTACCCAGTGTTCAGAGACAATCATATAACATGCATCACATATAATACACAATGCCTCTGATTTTCTTCAGCCTACTGAAGAACCATAGGGTCCGTAATCTGTTGAGATTCCCATACATTGCTTCACTATAATTGTCTGCATTGTCGAATCCTATTTATATATAGTGAATTTGGATCACTAGAATATGAACTCCAAGAAGGTAGGGATTTTGACCCTACTGTGTACTACTGTGTCCCTAAAATCTACAATCAATATTTGCTTAAAGGATACAATAACAGTAATATGAAGAACAATAAAATTCAAATGACTCAGTAACTGAGGGCTTGCCTAGCATGCATGAGGCTCGGCTCGGGGTTCAATCCCCAGCACTGCAAAAATACAATAAAATTAAAATTTAAATATCTTTACAAAGGAAGACGAGTTATCTTAGCAAAAATATTTCTCATTCTTTTCCAAGTACTTTTTGTCTTTTTCAAGTGTACATTCTGAAATAATACCTACAATCTTAAGACTTAAAAATTATCACTTCATCCAATAACAAACTAAGCCAATAGCTTTAAATAAATTTATTTCGTAATGTCATCCTTAAAAGAATGTAAAAAGCAAGCAAACATCAAATAGCTTCAACCAGGTAGTAGGCCCGGGAGTACTGAGAAATGAAGCCATGGCCCTCTAAACATGGGACCTGGATTTCTAATTAATTCGGGGGGAAAAGGCCCCCAGAGGCATGAATGAGCCCTGCCTCACTAATCAGAGAGGGAAAAGAAGAAAATAAATATCCAAAACCCATTAATCCACACCCAACAGGTTCCGCCTCTCCACTTAGCAGAGGGCACACGCCAACCCCTGCCGGTAAAATGTCTCACTCACACCCTGAACTCTGAGACCGGGCCCTGCTCCTGCTGATCTGTTGGCCGAGTGAAGATCCCAGGTGGCTGTCTCCCACCTGCACCTCCGGTCTAGCCCCGCCCACCTCGGCCACCGCCTCCGGAAACCGCCCCGCGCGTTGCCACCGCGACGCACAGAAAAGCCGCTTCCACCCCGCCGCGCCTCTGAGCCTCCTGGCGCCAAGAGGCAGCGTGCCGTGGCAACGTCAGACGTAGTGACGTCACGTGGACGGCAGCCAATGAAAAGAGCCGCTGAAGGAGCTGGCTTGGTTTTGAATCTTGTGGTGGAGTTTGAAGCGCCAGGAGGCGGACATTGAAGTGAAATAGTCGCGGTAAACTCTTCCGGGCCTGAGGTGAGTAAGAAGTACTAGAGGAGAAAACTGTGACCCCTCTGACGCTGATTTTGATAATCTGTCTTACTGGGAGCGGGTGTCCGGCCGCCGCCTCAGGTCTAGAGGATCAGATGGTCTTGTTGACAAACAGAAGCGTTAAGGGGGTGGGGGTGGGGGAGTGCCAGTCCCTGGGGAGAAAGTGAAAGCCGGAAAGAACTCCAGTACTAACCGAGAGCATGGGTTAGCCTGACTTCTCTGCAGGAAGGGCAGCGATCTTCTGCCTTCAGTTTTGACAGGAAGTTTTCTAGGGTATCTTGGCTTCATTCCCAGACTTTGGCATAGGACTCTAACTGTCCAGCACCTTGCAGTGTGAGGTTCCTGGACTCCAAATTTGGAGTGTTTTATTTCAGATGCAGATGTAAGTGTATCTCTGGGCTTAACTATCAAATGAGGATTTTTCGTTCATGACCGCATGAAGTTTTTGGCTGGCGAGGTTCAGCTATTAGCTTTGTGCTACTACTCCATTGGGAGCCAGCTCCTAGCCCCAGTCGTAGCTTCAAGGTAAAACTTGTCCTGACTACCTAACGGACTTTCAGAGTTACACTGGCAAAGTGCTCTGCAAATGAGAGTGCCTGTGAGCGCTGAGCATCAATCCTATGGTTTCTCCTTTAGCTAATTCAAGACTTCAGGAGTTAATTAACCCCTTTGTTACAAAGAAACCCAAACAGGCTGCTGCACTTTAACTTGAACTACTCTTGTGAAAAAGAAATGATCTGATGAGAACTAATTTTGTTCCATAGTTTACAACTTAAACTATGGAATAATTGGGTAAAAAGTGTTAAATACTCAACAGGTTCTAGCTGTTGGTGTCATTTCATTGCAGACAGCCTGTGAGTTTGGTTTTGGGAGGTTTTCATGAATTTTGGAGCTATAGGATATGAAGTTCAAAGACTAGATTGTTACTGAGTTTATATTATTTTGTCCGTTTCAGTAGAAAAGAGTATCTGCTTTTAACAGTGATCAATCTCTTGTGTTATTGAAAAGTATTTACAAGCACATAAAATTTTCATTTTAAAATTACATCTTGTCCTACTATTGATATACCTCAAATCAATAAAATGGATTTTCTCCTGTTAACTCTGACAACTAAAATTTTTTTTTAAAGCCCATCTGTCAGTGATGCCCTTCCCTTCACTAGAATTTTTCATTCTTTCCTGATTGATGCATCAGTTAGTGGGAGTTAATGAAGTTAGTGGAAACAGTGGCTCTAATAATAAGATTATTCAAAGAGTAGGTCAAGTTAAACACTATAAATGAGGATAGTTCCCAGTCCTAAGAAATTCTTGTCAAATCGGAATAGAATTCAAATTTGAGTTGACTGATTTTTTTCTTAGAAACACATGACCTTAACAAACAAAAGATCAGTATCTGTCTTCAAATTTAATAACAAGTTGTGAATAACATAATTCACATATGTCTATTTTGGTGCCATTGTTTGGAAGCTTTCTCTTCAGATTCTAGTAGAGCACAGTTGTAAAAACATGGCCTTTGGATTTGAATCCACTTAATGGCTCCCCACTGACTAGCTATATCATTTGAGAAAATTACTTATCCCAAGACTGTCCCTGTGTTTGTAAAATAGTAATAGAACCTACCTTATATGATTATTATAAGAATTGAAGGAGATGATGAATATCAAATGTTTACCATAACACCTGACACATAGAGTAAACTCAGATGATAATCATCATTGCTCATTATCACTAGTTATCACGATACAGACTTAATCCAAGCTTTTTTAATAACATGTTTCCTGAGAGTTGCTACTGTGTGATGTGGGCAGGCACAGCAAAATCATCATCAGTTATGTTTCAACATGCATTTGAGAACTCTTTTACTAAGACTTGAGATCTTCTAATGTAGGCAACTAGAGTACAACTAGGAGTTGAGGGACGAAGGAAATGAAGAGATATTGATCCAGATGTACAAACTTTAAGTTATAAAATAAACTATTTCATGGGATCTAATGTACACCATGGGTAGTGATAGATCTATTATTTCGTGGTAATCATTATACAATGAATATCAAATCTTTACATTGTATACCTTGAATATATACAATCTTTATTATCAATTATATCTTTTTTAAAGTAAGCAAATATGTATATATTTTTAATTTCTATGGGAAAATCTCTGAGGATCTCTGCTCTGAACGGATTACATTGCTTTTTGAATTGTGTGTATATTTTATGTAGTTAGTCGATTAATTCATTTTTAATTCATTTGTTTGTCATTCATTTGAGAACTTACTGTACCAGACTCTCTACAAAAGACTAGGGATATCAAGTAAAAACAGTTACATTAGCTGTTATTTCTTATTATTCTCTTGTACCCTTTTCTAGTCATATGCAATAGCCATAAAATTTTGGAGCTAGGAAAGGACCTTAGATGTATAATCTAACCTTTTTGTTTTATATATTAGCATCTCAAGTTCCTTCATTAGTCTTTATACCATACTTTCCCTAGACATGATAACTATCCTTCTATTAAAATTGACAGTGAACCAGGTATAGCACACATATGTAATCCCAGCAACTCGGAAGAATGGGGAAGAAGTATCACAAGCTTGAGATTGACCTCGGGAATTTAATGAAATCCTGTCTCAAAATAAAAGAGACTGTAGATATAGCTTAAGAGTAAAGTGCCCCTGGGTTCAATCCCCAATACCAATGAATAAAATGGGATTGAAGATATTTATCCTTTATATTGTAGTCCTACCAATGAAATCCTACCAGTTTGCTCTTTTGATTCTACTTAAAAAATAGCACTTAGGAGTAGATACGACAAAATAAATCAGAGACTGCAATACTATTTTTATAACATTTGTCTGAATATCATTTGTAAATCACCAGATTATTGTATGGATAATATTTAGGCTTTTTTTTTTTTTACTGCTTCATATTAAACATACTCAAGGAATTTACTCTCTGCACTGATTCAGAATCAACTAAATGTCCATCTCTTTTAGTCAACCATGTTACAAAGAAAGCAAGCATCATGTTTTAATGTAGGACCCATCTCATTACTCCCTGAAGATATATATCTAAACTTTTCAAATTATTATTATCACTATTATTATTATTATTATTATTTTGAAACTGGTCTCCTTATGTTTCCCAGGTTAGCCTCCAAATCTTGTGCTCAAGAGAGCTAACTGCATCAGCCTCCCCATTAGCTGGAACTATAGGCACATGCCACAGTACTAGGCTTTAATTTTTTACTTTTTTGATGATTCTGTTGACTTTAGGCATCATTATTAAGAAAATTGAGGCTGCAGTTGTAGCCCAGTGATAGAGTACATGCTTAGTATGTGAGTTCCCTGTTCAATCCTAGCACCAAAAAAAAAAGTTATGCTTGCTGACTTTTTTCTTAGAAACACTTGACCTTAACAAACAAAAGATCAGTATCTGTCTTCAAATTTAATAACAAGTTGTGAAACAAAGTTAGGTTTAACATTATACTTCTTAAACTCATTTATGTGGTTGTCCTGAAATACCTATTACCTTATAAAATGCCTTAGATAATTCTCAGTTAACCTCAAACTCAAATCTAAACTCTTAAGCCTTAGATTCCAGATTCTAAAACTGGCCCCACCCTTATCCAGTTTTGTTCTTTTAATGCAGTCCTCTCCCTTCTACAGCACTCTCCAGCTGCAGTAAAAGAAAACAGAGATTCCCTTGAACATTTCGTTAGAAGTCTACTCACACATTCTATCTCAGACCCTAGAAAAATGCCTAGCACATACCTGTCGATAAATATTTACTAAATGCAAAACTAGTTTTCCTTCCTGAAATGTGTTTATCTGGCTAATAACTATCCATCCTTCAGCTCTCAGTTCCAGTCACATTCTCCAGGAAGATTTCTAACTATACTTATCCCCCATTGTAGGCTTTTATAGCACTTGTCAACACTTCACGTTTGTGTCAGTCCTATATTAATATGTTTCCCTTACTACACTGTGAATTTAAAAAATAGCAATAGTAACAAACACTTGTAGCAAATTCTTGTGCCTAGAATTATGCTAAATGTTTAATCCTTATCTAGTTCTTACCACAAATCTATGAGGAAATAGGTACTATTATTAGACCCACTTTACAGATGAGGAAACTGAGCCACAAGGAAGTTTAATAACCTGCCATTGTCATAGCCAGTAAGTAATAAAGCTAGGTTTTAACCAAAGATGTTTGGGCCTAACATCTAATAGTTAAACTCTTTAAAAAATTAATTGGCAAGGTTGTCTCACCTTCTAATCTTGCAATTCTAAAGCTTTGTTTTGAAATAATCACATATTTGATGTCCTTTTAGCCTATTTTTGTGTATTTTATCAAAAGTGTGTCTGTTAAAGCCAAAACATTGTTGAATATTTCAGAAATGTTTTGGCAATATATATATATATGGAGAGATAGTTTTGGGTATCACAAAGAATGCAAGAGACTACTAGCCAGTAATGGGCAGGGAACAGAAATACTAAACATTCTCTAATACATGGAACAGTTCTAAAGAAAGAATCATCCTACCCAAAATGCTGTTCATGTAACCACACTGGGAAACGTTAAAGGATGAACTCACTATGGGAAGAAGAGGCAGAAGTAGGGATAGGTAGAGAAGAAAAATTGATATTTAGTACATACTTTAATTCACTTAGTATTTATTGTCTTTTTTAGCATTCACAAAAAATCCTATGAAGTAGTATTATCTCTTATATTCAAGGTAACCTGAGACTTAGGGTACTAACTTATACAAGGTCATGAGAAGTAAGTATAGGTTCTTTGCAGAACTTGG